ATTCGACTTTGGCCCACTGTTCCATCGCCGCGAAGTTCGTTGAGATCACTTTGAGACTGCACCACCTTCCATCCTTTCTTAAAGTTATAGATCATAATGGTGCTACTATGAAGATGACTTTCCGGACACATTTCTGTTAAGGAAAGCGAGAAGATTATTCCTATAAAAAACACCGAATTCAATATTCAAATTGTGTCGAGGGAAAAGAAGCCGCGAGGAAATCCGCAATAATTATGCATCAACCTATTACATAATTGAGGGATCAAATGCATATGATTTCTTCAATGGGTGTAACCGTAGTAGTTCCCGCTGGTCGCGCTTCATTAGTTGCACAAACCAAAGGTTGCCGGACCAAAGGACACCCTTTGTCAAAGCGATATCTCGCGGTGGATAAAGACGTAGTTGTATGTAACACATTTGGCCGTCTTATAGCTTCTCTCTTATTGCGCCTCGGCATGTGACTCTATTTGGCCTGAATTGTTACTGTTCGTGGTTACTTCCACGAATATCTACCGCCACATGTCTCGTCCGTTCACCGTCGGAGTCACATCGTTAAACCTTTGGTATGAGAGTCGCCAATGTGTCGCAACTGCTCAAGGTGACTTTATTCAAGTGGTGTATATTTAACTCATCTTCGGAGTGAACTTCACCATCTTCTTCAAAAATGAAATCTGCACTAATGCGCATCACATGGGGACAAAGTTCTTGCAGTAGTGAACTGGGAATCAAATCTGAATCTTTTTTAAAAATTCCTAACGAGGTTGAAGTTTGTTTTCAATTAAGTTGATCAAACGCAACCACCTTCTACGTTGCCGTCTTGCACGGGTCTGTCTCCAAGTGCTCGGAGCACCCAAGGTCCTCAGTAAGTTTTTCAGTTATTCAGTTATTCATTTCTATTCTATAACAGGTTTGTAAAGGGAACTTATGGAGAGGTAGCACAGGACTGCTCTCATTGATAATTATAATTAGTCGATCGGGTTCATGTGTTCGAGTGTCACGATGGCAGTCTGTTGGAATGCTGCTGCAGACGGGTGAAAAAAAAAATCCACACTTTAGTTGCGTACACAAACTGGAACCGCTCCAGGGATTCGTAGAAGTTGTGGAAGTCCTCGAACCTCTCTTCTTATACAGCAACAAGCATTGTTAGTTTGACAACGTGGGCACTTTGTTTCCAACGGGTACCTCGTGAAGAGCCAAGACAGGGTTGTGGCGATGACAGATGGAAGGCCCCTCAGATGTTCCGGTTTAATCCTATCGAAAGAGGCGCCCTTCAATTGTTCATCGAGTGATAGGATGTCGAGGCGGAATGGAGAATTGGAGGAATGGCATATCCATCCCCCCTGAAGTGGTAGGAAGGCAGATAGACGGTAGCCGTCCAGGAGATTGGAATGGAAGTCGTAGAGAAACATCTCCACTGCCGTTTGAGATTCATAAGTGTTCCGTCAGTACCACGAAGGAAAAGCATCTTGGTCTTGAAGTGGCAGAAGCTCCTCCCGGTATTGCAAATGCTCTCCCCGGCCCCGGCACATCGGCCAGAACCGCTGTTCTTTTCCCTTCCAGTCTTCCTTTATCACGTCTTTGCATAACCTCGAAATTTAGACGTTAGTTGACTTTGACTGTACCTCTCGAGATTCCACGCCGGCGCATCAGCTCGAGAGTCTTCGGTCTGTAACAGCGGAACAAAACTCTAACTGCTCTGAAAAGGAACCCCTTTCCTCAACTAGAAGATGCGCCCAGAATTATCGCGAAATGTGCCTTCGAGTGTAAATCGTAGGCCTCATTAGTACAGAGGGACCGACCTCATTAAACGTGCTGTTGTGTCCTTGCTCCTCTCGCTAAGCTCAGTGCATATGCCGTTGCAGCCCAAGAGTTAGCTTTGTCGTATTGTCGTGCTACAAAGTGTCTTCATCAATGCTCGCACAGTTCTTTTTTTCTAGCCTGCCCTCCGAATCGTCGATATGGAGGGGTCGACCTTTCCACTGAATCTCTCCTCAATTCGCTTGCTTATTTTTACCTAATGTGGGCGGCTGTTGCCCGATTGGAATTTAGAAGTGCATAGATGTTTATATAATGGTTCAGAAACACTTTGTCATATATTGTGGTTGCAGGTCAACACAGTATTCATGCAGCCCAGGTTTCGGGTTATCATTCAAAGATCTCGACATCATCCGAGAGCATCTATTAGCGAATGGGAAATTCAATGAGTCCAAAAAGGTATTCAATAGGTTTATATCAAGGATTTTGGAAACGTTATGACTTGTTCAACATTAGAATTATCGCAACGATTTTAAATGGAAGTTTAATGTGAGGGCGCAATCTAAAAAGGGACTAAATAATGCTTTGAACGGATTTTCCTTACACATTATCAATGAAGTTCTTCCAAAAAACGACGAGCGAGGATGTTTTGCTCTCAGTTGATAGGTAGCATGAAGCAAAAATTAGAGAGTAGAAGGATACGCCTAGCATCCAACAGTAAACCATGTTCCCGTGTTTCAGATGTCGCTTGCATGGCTGATGGACAATATTTCGATATTACCGAGTTTAGTACCGCGTTCGGGAAGTTACCTCGAACATCTCTTAGGCAAAGAGCATATATATGTCAAAGATGCTTTGATGGTAAAAATTATCAAATCTTGTTGAGGATTTTTGTTTACATTGTTGTGTTTACTGTTTATTACTAATCGTTATATAAAGACAAAAAGAATGTGTTGCAAAATAGAACGTGAATCCGCTGACAGCTACCACGAAAACCCAATCCACATTAGGTCAAGTTTGCAGGGAACGTCGTCACCCCTTTACTATGAGTCCTGTTCGATAGCTGAACAGTATGTTCGTTCCATTTGTTAATTGCAAGCCACTCGGTATGCCTACATTGAGATGAATACGACAAAAACTTACGATCTGCTGAGCCAGACACATCAGCGACATTATGGCAATAATCGAAGCCATAGCAGTGACGTACTGGTCTCATATGGCTTACGGTAGATAGCACGACTCCCGGCACTACAGGCATCGTCTAGTGCGTCCATGACAGCTCACCTAAGGGGACTATTGATCTCTTAGTGAACATACTTGTTACTGATCAAATTCATCGATTTGCTCTCTCTTACGTGTGAATGTTTGACAGCTAAACTGGTATATTAATCCAGCGCTGTCTGTCCGTCACGAATTTTAGTATAATCTTGGAGAGCAACGGATCACAAGTGAGCTTAGCGGAGCTTCACGTTTTGGGAGAAAATGCACTGCTCGAGAAATGACAAGTGCAAAGATCCCTGTTATGGCTTTGAAACAGCCCAGATAGGGAAAAATGGAAATCTGGCGCTGAAGGTGAGACCTTCATTTTGGATCAGAACTGCAAGCGGAAGAAGTAGGTAAAGGACTTGTTTTGCAAATAAAGAGGAGGAAATTCAAGCTCAGTGTATGCGAAGTCCCCATTGTGGACGTTACCTAATCCTTACTATATACATTCAAAGCGCTCACGTCAGTCAGTCTGTTTGCATGTAAATTCGATATCACCTGATAAAGTACCTGCAGAAGTATCAAACCTACGGATGAGAGATCGTGGACGTTCAGTGCGTGCATAAGCATGCATAGTCCAACTGGAATGTACATAAGTCCATGACTAGATTCCAGCTTAGAGTTCCGTAAAATGGTGGAAATGAGAAAGTACTAAGGTGCGCCAGGTCAAGACAAGTCTGCGATGGGCGGAGCGCGCTCTGAAATGGGCGGCGCTTATACCAGACTTCTAATACTCTTCAAGAACGTTCTCAATCCCAAAAAAGATTGAAGACAGAAAACTGTCCAGGTCTTCGTTGTGGAGAGCGTCGCCCGGGTGTGCGGACCTAAAGGTAAATCCATAATCCTGTGCAAAGACGTCCTAGAATTCAGCAGTGTTTAGACGTTATGGGTCATACCGTTAATTCGTGACTGTTAAAATACCTTTTCTGTTGTCATTGGAGCATTAGCATGCTATGGCTCGACCGGTCGTTGTGTAATCTTCTCTATGACCACCCTCATTGTCATCAATTACAGGCGCTCGATCTACTCGCAGCCCACGGAATAATTACAGCTGTGGAACTTGCAAAGTCCGAGGACGCACAGGTTCTTTCCCAGGTTCACATGGTTTTCTTACTTGTTAGATATTTTTCCACTATTCAGTGTATTACCAAATGTATTCCACAAGCTGTGCTAGTGTTGACTACCAGGCTTGAATTATCAGTCACTAATTTATTATTAACTGTTATACTAAAGGTAGGGAGGGGGGGGGGGGGAGGGAAATGGAACCTGACTTTGGTCGGACGTTTGCACTTTTGTGTAGTTTTAGAGCAAAATAGAGCAGTGTTCAACACGCTGAAATCCTTGCCCATACCCATTTACTCCTGCTTCTTCACTGTTCTTCGATAATATCAACGAGCACCGACTTGAAGGGAAGTTCTCCGCCTATTTGTCCCGCTCTCTGTTGCTGTACGAAAAGGCTGGAGTGAATGCATCCCTCTGAAGAAGAA